AGGACGATCCGCACATTTCGAAAGCCGAGCTTGAATACATTAAACGTAGCCTTGGGAACTCGAAGAAGGAGGAAGTAAGTAAAATTAAGTAAGTTAAAATACAGTTCATGGGCGTATTTAGACTTGTTTCTTGGGAGAGAGACGTTCTTGAGCGGGCAGGTGTGTATGTGTGTGTGTATGTGTGTGTGTGTGTGTGTGCAATAATAAAAGTAACAACAGAAAGAGTTTTATTTAAAAAATAAATGTTAAGTAGAAAGGAACAAAGTAGAAGCTAACAAAGTAGAAAACATTTTGTTCCGCAGAAAATTAATCATCCATGGAAAGCTATGCTCACATCTCCACCAGTTTGGGCTATCGTTGCGGCCCACTTTAGCGAGAACTGGGGTTTTTACACTATGCTTACCCAACTACCGACGTTCATGAATGGTCAGTAGGGACTCCATATTTAATGAGCATTCTCGACAGTAATGAGCTCCACTTACGTAATTTATTTTTAGATGTGCTCGACTTTAAATTGGATAAGACCGGGTATTTGTCCGCCCTGCCGTATCTGGCTATGACGATCGTTGTACAATTTTCTGGCCACCTAGCAGATTACTTGAGAATGAAGAACATTTTAACAACTACGCAGGTTTGTTGTCGAATTTAAATTATAACGATATTTCGAAACAATATTGAAATTGACACGTAAAAGATATTTTTTGTTATTTTAGGTGCGTAAGTTATTTAACTGTGGCGCTTTCGTGTTCCAAACAATATTTATGACCAGTACAGGTTTCATTTTCACGCCAGCAGGAGTGGTCACTTGTATCACTATAGCAGTTGGTCTTGGTGGTTTTGCTTGGTCTGGTTTTGGGTAATTTTTAAAAAAATTATAAATACATCGATCTATTCGAGGAACTTATTTTATACTTGTAAATTTTCATATTAGAATTTTCATGATTTTCCGCATATTTTAAATTTATTGTGGCTAAGCAAATATTTGTATTTTTTAGGGTCAATCATTTAGATATTGCCCCTAAGCATGCAAGTGTACTTATGGGAATAGGAAACACTATCGCCACTTTACCTGGAGTTGTTAGTCCAATTATCACTGGATATATCGTTCAAAATAAAGTAAGTTTGCTTATTTCTACACATTTTTTATATTAGAAACATGTTTGTCTATAACAAATGTTATTACATAATATAATATAATATAATATTTTAGTTAATAAAATCACAAAAAAAGATATTGGATTTATCGTAATTACAGAGTCCTGGAGAATGGCGTACGGTCTTCATAATTGCTGGTGGGATTTATTTGCTAGGAGCTGTAATATATGGTTTATATGCATCCGGTGAAAAACAAAGTTGGGCTGACGAAAGTCTAGGAGCAGAGGAAGATACGAAAAGATCCTATGATAATCCTGCTATGGAAATAGATAATTTATAGTATAAAAAAAAAAAAAAGAAGAATACTCCAATACTGTTTGATTGATCAGCAAATTACAGCCAACAAATGGAATTCGTATATTCAAATGGAATGTGACTCCGTATTTGTGATATTTATTTTATACGAGTGAAATTATTATACAAATAGTCGAATAACTTAAAATAAATTGAAAATAAAAATTCTATAAGAAAATATATTTTCTTCGCATATCCAATCATTTTGCTAGAACAAGGAAATGATAAATAAACAACATAGTTTTAACAAAAGTCATGTCGAATCAATTATAAATAATAACTTTTTGAGAAAGACTGTATACGAGTATGTACATACAAAATGATAACGATTATATCCAATTTTTTTATTTTTATCTCAAATAAACATAAAATACGACTATGACTACGTTGACAGGCGTATTTTGTTATTAAAAAATAAAATCCTAAAGCTATCTTTCGCTATTGTCTATTACAGCAATAGAAGGATTAGAGATTGGATACAGAATCTGCTTTATCTTCTGATGTTAACAGACTGTTAGAAGACATATTGAAAAGTCTGCATTATCCAATTAGCAGTAGAAAATTGATACTTATAGTTGCGTGTATCTACTGAAAGTAGCTAATGATATGAAATGTGTAACAAGTTATTTTACGAAAACATTTAAAAAATCTGTAAATTTTCAATTAACTTTTTAGAAATAAAAAATTGTGTAGTTTTTTTAACACTTTGTTAGCAATAAATATTTCAATTTCGAATATACGAATTTAAATTAATATTTAAATCTTTCACAATTTTTTACATACCTTTCCTCGTTTTAATATCTGTAAAATCTATGGTGAAAAATTATATATAACACATCTATTCGATCATAATAATATTTCATGTTCATAATTACCGTAATTCATAATCAATGAAAAATCTATCGAATCCCTAACAGAAGAAGCCGTTATCTTCGAAAAATGTTATTATTCTATACATACATCTATATGACTTACAATTTATTTGTTCTTTAATTAGTAAACTAGTGATCTTACGAAAGTGATTGAAAATAAACAATCGCATTCATACAGCTAAATACATACATACATGACATACAGCTAATGAAGATATTTTCATGTGACGTTGATCTTAGTCGTTCTGCGTAGAGTGAAAGCTATATGAAGTAATAATTAATATAATACAACAATTTGTACCATAAAGTATTTATTAAGTAGAAGTAAGTATATTTGATGTGAAAATACTACTGTTAGAAATGTTATAAGAAACGAATTTGACAGTTTCGATAAGAATATAACCTATTTTACACTCGACAACTTTTAATAGTGTATACACCTGAACTTTTTATTAACATATTGTAAAATGTAATTATATTGTTAACAAAACGTACAATGATTAAAGTTTATTTCAATATTGACATTATCTTTATTCGGCAAATGGAAAATGTTTACACATGTATTAATTTCCAACATTAAGCTACCTTTCTGCATACATTTTCAGTACTTTATTACAAATTATATAAGGATAATTATTACGTTTATATGAAGCATTACAAGAATCAGATGATTCTTAAATAAAAATAACTTATGCTGACTAATGATACTTTATAGTTTGGTATTAAAGGCGTTAAACTTGTTTACTTATCATAATTTTGGAATATTTTATGCTACATATAAAAACTACTATAAAATTAGCACGAGTAACAATGTGAATTCAGAGTTTTAAACAAAAATACATAAAAATTGATACGTATGACATGTATATTTAATTGTGACAAAGTAGAATTACATTCGTATGTAATCAAATATATGTTCTTTTATAGATGTCACTAACTTTTCAACAAATTATACTGGATGCTAAAAAATTAGTCATTAGAATATCAGATCATGAAAATACAGCAGATAATTTAATAAGCGAAATAGAATCAGTTTGTAGTCAAATTGATAACATGAAGCAGGTAAAGAACTTGTTACAATTATTTCCAATACAGTATATAAAACTAATTATATATTTGTTATTTATTATATTTTATATTATGTACTTATAGTATCAAGAAGAAGTAGAGATTTTGAATACAGAAGCAAAACAGAGGCCACATTTGAAAATAATTGCAGGAATACGGGAAGGGAGAAAGGAAAATAAACATTTGCAAGAAATACAAGCCGAAAATAAGCAATTGAAAAATGCATTGGAAGATCATCAGAATGCTCTTGAATTAATAATGTCTAAATATAGAAAACAGATAGCATCTTTGTTACGTCTGTGTCAAACACATTCTCTTTTGTCAGATAATTCAAAATGTACTAATGTGAGTTGTTTACAATTATGTAGACTCTATACTACTATAATAATTATAAGAAAATTAATATTTTTTTTATATTTCCATTCTATTCGTTTCTATACAAAAGTTAAATTCAAAATAACATTAATTAATAATGAATTACATGTAAAATTACAGATTATCATGAGTCAAGGAGAGAAAATTAATGAAATGGTAGCAGTAATGAAAACTGCAATAACCTTGGATGAGGAAAGTGAATTGAAAGAGAAAGAAATGTATTTTAGTTTAAAGGAAGAAAATGCTACGTTACGTGAAATGGTCAATATTGCTAATAAATACGGTTCCCTAAACATGGAAATTGGAACAGAAAATAAAATCATTCCACAGAGTTCCACATCTTATCATGATTTGGAACAGTCTGATAGTACTAATACATCTAAAATTGAAGGATCCGATCTCACCAAAGAAATAGCTTCGCCTTCTGTGAGCCTACCTAAAAATACAAGTATAAACAGGAAGGTTGAAGAAAGGTTAAGCAATTGAAGAATGCATAAAATCGTTCAAACGGATCCAGTAACATCTTAAACAAAATTTGTAATGAATACCGCTCATATTATTTATTCACATTTTATAACATAAATATTGTCACGAAAGTTGTATTCCTTATATGTAGTAAAGTGCACATGCAACGTATGTACATTCAACATTTTTATGGAATTTCGTTAAATAAATGTATTTCTAAAACTCATTTTCATTTAGTGTTTCAATTTTAATTAAAAGGGTAATATTTGTCATATTTAAAACAAATATTATAATTAGTCTAATTATATTATTATATACTATCATCATAATATATTAACAAACAAATATTATTTATGTCATATTATTATTTTGATTCAGTGTACATGTCTGACTGGACTCTATTTTAGAAATTCGACACTATACAAACTAGTGATCTTTTCTTCTTATTTAATATATATATTCTTTTTCATAATTTTTATCACTTTTATATTTTTTGGTATTTGTAATTACCAGTTTTGTACTTGTGTATTCAATCAAGAAAACAGGCTTGTTCAAATTGTATGTCTTATAATATTTGTTTCCAATTTCAATTAACGGAGTTTCAGAATCCAACCTTCTAAAAAATATTGTATTTCAGTTAAATTTTAAAATATACATTCCGTGATTTCCAATAAGGTCGGAACTGATCGAAACATTCGAATTATTCTTGCGGTAATACGCATGCGCGTAAAAATTTGGTAATAACAGATATGGTGTTCTAGGGGAAAGAGAAATCATTTACAGCTCGTTGTATTTCTGAAACGATTGAAGAACGATCATTTTTACTTGAATGTCTGCGTTCAGCGAGTCAAAATATCTACTGTGTGAAAGTTCAACGGAAATAGACGAGTGGCATTGCATATTCAATATTCGATTATAGCATGTATGGATACATAGTATAATAACCGCAGTTCCATCTAGATTCTGTCCTCCCATAGTAGCACCTAGCACTTGGTAGCACCGTTAATATGCATCGTGAGCGATCGTGAGATGTTAGGAAGTTGCGTCTGGTTTCGTCCAAAGAGAGCGTAAGTCGGTGTGGGTGTGCAAACTGCTGGCAGGGTAGGACAGACGCACAAGTGAAAGGGCGATGGCAAGGAGTGGTGATATTCAGATATTCAGTGATCTTTAACAAATGGCTCTGTCCGAGGTGCACAATTTGACTGCAATTATCGGCAACAATGGTTTTACTGTTAACAAGGTAAGCGACCGCGTCTCTCTTCGTTCTTTGCTTTCGTCGTTGAAAATGTGACGTTCATCTTCCTCTGCTACAAAGTACAACGCGGTTGTTCTAACATAATACGCACAGAAATATGCAATTACATTATTTAAGAGTCGTTATCTAAATAACTAATTATACAATTGAAGAAATACATTACGTTCGGCACGCTGAAGAAAAATTATTCGTTCGATTGTAATTGTTTGGTAACTTACTCAATAAAAACGAGCCGATTTTAGTTTTTCGCCGATACACATGATATCGTAATTCACGATTGGATTCAATTTGAAATTGTTGATTTCTTCATTAACGTTAATGAAAAAACAGATTTTTACTCTCCTCTCTGATATTATGTTCGTATAGTAATGCATGTTTCTGCGTGTATGATCACTCAAATACGGTATTTTCGTGACAGTTCTTTTATGTCCCATGATACTCATAAAATTAAATTTTTTATCCATTAATTTGTATTATGGAGTGCAAATTGTTTTAATCAAATTAATAACAATTTAAACGATCAGAAATATTTTTATATTATTGTAACGTAATTCAGTATTCGTTAAAATTTGTTTGTCCTTTTTTTTCTTTTTTTTTTTTGTAGAACAACGTGGTTGAACGCAACATCAGCATATTGGAGCCACGAAACAATTATTCAGTTGACCAATGTAATGCAGAATATAATTGGAAGAATTATTGGAACTACGACTTAATGGAATATAACGCACAGAAAAATGTAAGAAACTTGAAACAACAATTAAATTTGATAGAATACATTATAATTTTTATTTTTTTATTTAATATCATTATATGAAAGACTTTCTATAAGGTTTCTTTATTTTCTATTTGACCTTTAAAGTGTATAGTTCGTCATTTTATACATATATGTTTATGTATAATATTATTATGCATGAATGTTAAATATCAAACCATTGCATACGTATATATATTATATATATTCTATGCATTCTAACTGTAGTTAGTAGCAATTCAATTATTTGAGAATAATTGCATATATAATAGTACTAAAAAAGTGCCTTATCTTTTACTTAACCATATTCATTTGTCAAATGTAATAATATTTCAAGGAATAACCTATATACACAGTGTAAATTTATTTTCATTTAATTACACATATTGTTTAAAGATTATTAAACATAGAAATCTTATTGTAACACTAATTTATTTTTCTATATAATTTGTTTGTATAGATGAATGTAGAAGATGAAGATAGTCAGGATTTAAACAATCCTATGGTCAATGATTTGGTCTCAAAAATTCTCGATGACGATTCGATTGTTGGTGACAATGCTCATAGTAACAATTACAATGGCAATATTCAATATCATTCAGAAACTCAATCTTCTATCATGGAGAACACAGACCTCAATCTTACTACCTTAGATCATTTTAATATGCATCCTACATTCAACAAATTACAAAACAGTGTTTCTAATAATGCTAAATTTGAATGTAATTATAATAATCTTTGCGGAGAACTGAAAACATTGAGTCTCAATACATGTATGGGACAAGCACCAGACCAAGGAAATTTATATAATAATGGGGTTAATGCATATCTAAATACATACCCATCCGACTCTCATTCATACATATTACGTCCAAACAATGAAAATTCCTGTATTAGTGGAAATATTATGCCTCTATGCAATGATTTGTTAACAACAACAAATGAGACAAATTCGTGTAAGCAATCTTCTAACTGGTCAGAAAATTTGTCAACTCCTGGATGTACATCAGACTTGTTTGGAAATTATGAGCGTATACGAAATTGCACGAATCCAGATCTTAATTTTAATATGGCTGATCCAATAACTCTTAATGACATAGAGTATCACAATAATATTGGAACTGCTAATACTTATAATAATCCTACAACCACTATGCACGAATTGTATAGTATGACTGCCAATAATCAAAGTTACAGACCAAGTTCAGCAATGACTGATTTGAGTATCGATTCTGGCTTTCTCTCAAATTCTCCATTGCAACATTTTTCTCCAGCTGATACAAATTTGCATAATTGTTTTGGAAATAATATACAACGCAGTAGTACCAATGACTATAATGATTTACAAGATTCTGGTAGATTAAATATGGCAAATATCTCTATACCAAATGAAAAATTTCAATTTCTGCAGCAACAAGCTCGTAGTTATAAATTGGATCAAGCTGTGGACCAAGAATATAAACAATTAATTGACTATTCTGGTGTAAATGATTTCACCACGTCGTCGATCAATAGCTTAGATACAAATGAAAATTGTCTTTCAAATAACGATTATAGAATCGATAACAGTTTATCGAAAATTATCAGTCCAAAATCAAAGACTATCGAAACTAAGACATATTCACCAATTGGTTTTCCAAAAAATCTGAGTTCACGTCATACTCACCAGTCAATTGCGAAATATGGATACCACAATTATCAACATTACACTGCCAATAACGGCGAGACTTTGAAAATGTTACCACAGAGTTCTACATCCTATCATAATTTGAAACAGCCTAATAGTACTAATGCATATAAAATTGAAGGATTCGATCTCACCAAAGAAATAGCTTTGCCTTCTATGAGCCATTTGACCAATCCAATTGCAGGGTCTTCAATGAACAAGGATACTTTTAATTATATTGTGAAACAACATCATATGCCAAGAATACAAAATACTCCTGGCATTTCATCAGCTGACGTTCTCTTCAATTCAGGAATAGTACCAAATCCAAGTACAGTAAGATCTGGAGTATTCCCGTCGGTGATGCCAGTTCCTGTACCACTTCCAGCTCCACGTCTATTTTCTGTACTCTATGGTGGAGGTTTAAGCCTTAGAAATGGAAACGGAACAGCTAGACGTACAGCTCCTTCGAGTATACTACACTTTAGGTTGGAACAAACTTATGAACAGTTTAAACAACTAGAAAAAGAACGAAAAAAATGTGAAGCTGGATTAGCTGCTCATTTTCCTGGCAAGAGAGTAACAAGTGCAAATAATATACCTATTCCTCGCCTCCAAGGAAACCCATCACGTGTAGATCGTTTAATTATTGACTATTTAAGAGAACATGCACGTGTCATAACTTTGATAGCAAAGGTAAGTTAAATACACATGTATACTCCATTTTTACTGTTATCATAAGTAAATACAATATTGAATGTATAATTTTCATGCTTTCTAAATAGATGGAACGACTGCGAGGGACCACAATGAATCAACGCGTACACAAAGCTATGGAGTATTGGTTGGAAGCAATAAAATTCGTCCAAGAATGTCGTAAACGAGAAATTGCAAATGCTACTAAACGCCAGAAAGAAAATCCACCATGCATCCTTGTATATAACGACAATGGTATGTTTCTACTTGCTTATGTATAGTAATAATGCAAATTTACTTAACATATTTAAAGCAAAAATTGCAAACTATAAATAAGAAAAATATAATGGCATTGAATGTACATTTTAGCTGTAAACTAGTGTAATCGATAAAATCATTTAATAGAAATGTAGTTTAGTTTCAATAATATACATCTTTCATTTTTAGAAAATCTGTTGATAATACGCGTCTTTTTTTTTCCTGAGAGTTCGCGGACTTCTGGAGATCCGCGGGCCATAATTTGTTGAACACAAATTTACATTACATTGATTTATGTTTACAGATATATTAACTTTGGCTGCCAGCGTCTACGAATTGACCAAGGCGTCTCGATATGCAAGAACTGGTATGTATAATGCATTGCAAGCTACTCTGCTGTATGACTTGGACATAGAGAAAAAAGTCGTTGAAACATCTAAAGATCCAGTACTTGTGATAAAACGTAACGAAAGTGAGGCAGTAACCGATGTCGGTGACTATTCGAATTGTACCTAGCAAAATGCTGAAAACTGCTTTTTCATAACGTACGAGAAAACATAGATCGAGCCCAGCAGCTTTTTATTTACGTATTCCGTGTTACGTTTCTGAAAAGCTTTTGCTGGCATTTATCATAATTTTATCGCTAAAACAAAGCAAAAAATGCCGCCCACTAATTGCGAATCTTCAATGCGTCATACGAAAAAGTACGCGTACTTACGCCGAAATAGGAAATATCGTACGCGTGTCTACTTTTTACAAGGTAATAGTGACTCCATAGTTTTCTACTGTACATATTTTTATCCCTACTATAGTACAGTCTTGGGAATGTCAGTTCTGGTATATAATACTTGTGATCCAATCATCTATCGTATATCGCACTTTCAAGTGATTTTTGCTTGTTCTTCGCTAACAGACTAACGAGAGAAACTCACAGACGTCAACATTTTATCTTTGGATGTGTTGTCTCGCGTGTTTCGCAATGCCAAAGATAATCGTTTAGAAATGATCGAGGATCCGAAACTCGTTGAAACAGAGAGAGAAAAAAAAACGAAGAACAAGAATTGCTCAGACGTACTAAAATAAAAACAAAAAAAATGAAAACGTTTGCAAGAATCTCCAACCATAACTTGTTTGCGTATGTGTCATAGGCTAGATAACATAGACTAAAATCTTACCAATATATTTGTTCAGAGTGCTAGGCAGTAATTTCTTAGACTAGTTCAATGTGGCCTTCCTTAAATGTGTGACCCATGATGTGTGTCAGGTAGTTGAATATCTCGAAAACTCAAGACGCGATAGTAAACTTAATCGCAGATCGGGGGGGGGGGAGCTTTTCAATCTGTGAACTATGCGCAGCCTTTCGATCTGATCGATAAATAGATAATATATATACAACGCAAATGATGTCCACTATACACTACTCGTAAATCTTTGTTAAAAGAGAATTTTCCTAAGGCATACTCGCTACACGCTCACACGAGAGAGCATGATTCAGGCGAGTACGTACAACGTAAGGTATAGAGAATTTTTAACGCGTGCGTACGCGAAACACACGTAACTATTCCTACAATACTTATACATATAAAAAATATATATATATACGTTCTAGGCAAATTTGTTAGCTCTACAGTCGACTTGCAACGTTCAGCAATTCCAATTAATCCATTTTTTGAGTGAGTTCTTTCACACAATGACTATATAACCAGCTCAAGAATTTTAACGTTCCAACGTGTACGACTGTATGAATCCGTTCTTATTTGTTATTTTATGTCGCGATGAAATTGCGTATAGTTTCGCAGAAAACATCGAGAATCGTTACGTTCTACGTTTTTTGAAAGGCTCGAGAGCGGTGATCGTTCCCGTATTCCTACGAAACTACAGGTATTCGCACAACGACGACAAGATACTCCGCATTAAGTGAATCTAGCGTCCACCGGTAATAGGAACAACGAGACAACATAACTTAGGTGCGACGTTCTAGTTGTCTCAAGGTCTAATTTTCTTAATACCTAAGCTGAATCGATCGGCCTGTATTACCATTAGAATGCTCGTGAATCGGTTATCGGTTGTCGAATGTTGGTGAAGCTTTAATATAATCATCTGTGTATATATCCGTCAAACTTCCATCTAAGCTGCATCGTACGTAGTATTTCCCGAGCGATTAATCAGGGAAAGGTGTGTTGTTTTCATTTCTCAATACTTGTATATCAGTCTTAGGCGAGACATCGCACCGAGGTATTTAATTTAGTGTACTAGTAAATATTGCGTTACTCGAATAGAATTTTCTGATTGTCTTTGCCGCCGATCCCCAAGTATGAACGAGCATTCCGAATTCTGGACAACCTTGTCCCTGTATAGGGACGCGTTTTACAAAATTGTTAGAGATTTATAGAGTTTTATATGAATATTATATTTCTCTCTTACTCGACATTAATCCTCGTCGATTAACGATCACGCTGTAACTTTAACATTACTTTTTAGAAAGACGTTAATCCTTCTCTCTAAATTCCATATAACACTGGAGAAGAATAAAGTGGTATTTTTAATTTCTCAAGAAAAATTACCGAAGAAATTTGTAAAGCTATTTATTAGATTAGATAACATTTTTGTATAAGGTACTTCTGGTAAGACACTTATTCGAATCTTCTATATTCGCTACTTTTAACGGACCTTGTATTTGTGAGAAGAACTGAAATGTTACAATCGATATTATAAATCATGAATAGTGTTATTAACTTCTGTTTGTTACAAACTCTGTACACAAATCTTGTTACGCCACTGCCCAGAACGCATAATTTTCCGTTGATTTTGTCGAGCTTTTCAATTTGTCTACTTAGTATCGGTAAGAGAGAAATAAAATTTGTTGATGTTGGACGTAAAGCAAGTTTCGGCAGACAAGAGATATTATCGTTAGGGAGATATGTTGTTGCTCGACTGCGTGGAATATAAAGTTACATCAGTGAACTTTCTATTAAACGCTATGGAAGAAGAGAGTAGCGGTCACGCTCGGCTGCAAAGACAATCCCGTGCGAAAACTGGCCCTGTACTATTCAAGTTCTTCAAGAACTCAAGTTATACATACAGACTGTTAACTCGCTTTTACATAGCGCTTACGTAATTATTGGGGACCATGTCGAGCATCGTCTCCTTGTATATCAGCATACCTTAGAACCTCGTTTTCATTACACGAACGAACACATGCATTTCTTCGCGTCCTCTCTTTCGGTTTAGTCTATTTTCAAGGGATACGCGATGCGTGGTTCAACCCCTTTTTCTCGCGTCGTTCTTCTTCGTTTGCGTCCCTCTAATGTCCCCTGCTATGTTTCGTCCCCTCTCTATACGACGAACGAAAAGCAAGCAGCAAACAAGAGACGTCGTGCTTTTTGCGTGACGTTCGCTCTTTCCTCCCAACCCCAATTTAAACATGTGTCCGGGATCGAAAGTATAGGTTTAGAGAAAATTTAAAAAAAAGTATATATATATATATATGTATATATATATATATATATGTATGTATATGTGTGGGTGCGTGTAATGTTAGTATAGGATAGATTATCGAATGCTCATAAGCGTACAATGAACAGATTAATTCTGTCGCTTGCGTTACAATAGGAACGTGAAAACAGCGAAACGAGATACACGTGCTGTGCGGTGTTAGCTGCGAAAAAGCAGGCAGTGCTTTACAGAATTTCCTTCCGCATTTGTCGACGTATTGTATTGTAACTGTGATATATATAATGCCAATTTGTACATAACTTGTGCAGAGTTTTTCGCGGCAAAGGATACGGCGCGCCCAGCAAATTGGTTGGTTGGTTTCTCCTTTCGTTTTGCGTGTATTTCATTTCGACATTTTTTCGCTTCGCGAGGCGCTTGCTATTTCTGTGTAACATGGAATGTGATACCGATAAATAGACTTACGCGTCCGGTTGTAACTTACAAAGAACATCCGCGATAAAGCATTGGGAGTTTGTGAGGCGACCAGAAATTGAGTATACGAATTTTTTGCGATTACGCTTATCCAGTATTGGCAAGTGAAACTTTCCTCCATAGTTGTAGTATATTTATGTTATCGTTAGAGCTATTATATATGCAAGAAAAAGTCTTTTAAACATATTATGTATGATTTTTTTTTGTTTTTTTTTTTTTTTTTTTTTTTTTGAAAGTGGTATGTTTTAAATAATATTTAAAATTTTTAAGTTATTTATTTTCGAAGAGAACTTGAAGAGCAAAGAAAATGTTGGAGGCAAAACTATTAAAGTACCTATTATATATATTAATTTTAAAAGCTACAAAAGATACAAATTTAACAAATCGTTAAAGAAATTTTGACAATTATTCATTGTACCTGTTTCATTATCAATATGTATACAATAATATTGATAAATGTAGGTGTTTGCAGTCAACGGTGAATTCAAATTAAAACTATCTCGCTATATGTATACCATCTTGTCATAAATTTTAAGGATATACGTGGTAGAAATGATTTGGTAAATTTCTATTAACTTTGTTGCGGGATGTTAATTTTTGTCAGAGAATATACAGAGTTCGCTTAAGAATTTTTTCTTATACCTAAAATAATCTCTGAGACTGCGTCAGGAGATGAAATGATGGAGGACAGTTTCGCTTATCAGACTCGAGTTACCACCTCTAAACAAAAAATACGTATCTCCTACATTTGTCCGCCTTACAATCTTCAAAAGTTGCATAAAAATCAGGGAAGTAGGATACTTTGTGGATATTCATTGTTAGTGTAGTTAGGCGGGCTGGGTCATTGACGCGTATTAAGTGGTTCAGTCGAGTGAAAAAGAATGATATAAGGATTGGTTTAAATTTGGAAATGCAAGGGTATATAAATATGGATCATCTGGAATAATCGTTTACCGATAAAAGATAGAAGAGAAAAACGTAACAGGTTTTTCTCCGTCATTTTTCTTAGAATCTGATAACGTAAAAGAAAATAATTTCTCTTCGTTTTCTTCGAGATCACGTCAAGGTCACTTCGTGCATTTTAAATGGAATATCGTAACAATTTATATGACCTCGAAAAATTGGAAAGAAAATATGAAGAAAAAAATGGAAAACAGTACCAGAAGTATCGATACCACGAAAATCTTCTAAAAATTGTGAAACTGAAACTGAAACTGGCGAAGAAACATCGAGGGATACAACAAAGTAGGAACAACCTTATGCGATAGAAATTTCACAGAATACATTCGAGAAATTCATTCGAAAGACTTGGCTCGTCTAACAACGCTATCGTAACTGCGAGGTGCGATCAGTAGGATTTTCGGATATCCAAGAATGATCAAGATTTTGCCGATCACTTAATCGACAGTACTTATAGTTGGACTAATTGTCAATATCGTGCAATCATCCGAATTATCTACGCTAGCGTATTTGGCCCGTAAGATTATCCAGTTTCTTGCAGTCCGTTCAAGAAGCGCCACGGTGTCTCGGTCAATCGGATTATTATTTATTCGCGTCCGTTACTTTCCGAATACTCCGTTCGGATCGTACGCAAAGAACTGATGTATATAAGTTTCCTACCGTTTTATAGTAATTTCGAGTTTCCTTTCGGCTTTCTAAACAATTTCAACGTTTCGTCGGTTACTTGTCCTCTTTGTTGGTGATTCATTGTGGAACGTTAACGAGTACAAAAGCTGCTGATTTCGAATTTCACGCAGCATCGTGGTTTCGCTCGGTGTAACAGCAGGGTCTTTGAAGGCCTTCAGGGTCGACGGAGGAGCGTTACGTCGCGTCGAAATCGTATGTACAAAAGCCTAGGAAACTTGTCAGGTACCGCAGCTTTTCCGAATGAGCATCGTCAGGGTCGGGCCTTTCGGTTCATCGCAGAAAAGTATTCGCTGCGCGTAACTTAACGCGTTGAACGCTGGACGCTAAACTTTTTGTTTAGGCTGAGATCGGAGATGATAAACAAAAACGCAACACCTTGACGTAAAATTAATGAAATTTATTAAAACGATTTAAACAAAGACACGGGGGTTTCCTTTGCATACATTGCAAACGAAACGTTCGGTTGGTACCGTTTCGGATCGGAGAACTCTAAATCTTAATTATTGGTATTATTATAGTTTACACCTGTCTAACGAACTGTGATCTTCGATTTTTCGGTGTTTCTCAGTCGCGGTAGAGGCAGGCACGTCGGCGTAGCCTAAACAGAAAGTTCAGTGTTGGTTTTCAGGGATTGGCACGGCGTTGAACGTATTAAACGGGAAAAAGGGGGATCGATAGAATGAACTATCATTCGGGTTCGTCCGTTTTTTCTACGCGTAAACTTCTGTTTATTTCTTCCTCTTCGTAAAGGCACGGAGAAAGCTTTCGCATAAGGCTAGATATGTGCATGCGCACGTATTAAGTGATTACCTCGTGTCGTATTTATCATACGCAGCATCGTTTAAGAATAGGAACACTATCTACAACGATACGTGTTTGACAATCCTATTTAAATTGCATGTGATATTATATATTACCGAATAGCTAAATATATATGTATCTATGTATGCATACACGTACACAAGGTGTTTCGCTGACTCCGTTACGATACTTTTTTTCTCCCATAGTGCTTCTAAAAAGGTACTATCGTTTCTTCCCCTGTATTCTAAATATTTAGGTCAATTATATCTTGCTACATCTTGTTCCGATAATTACGTAACGAGAAAAGTATGAATTATATTTTTAATACGAAATGTATTTACGAAGGTTTTACTGCACGAACGCATATTACTTATCAGCAATGATTTAAGTGACAGAGTAGCAAAAAAGTTGTTTCTCTTAATATCGAGTAGTTGCGAAGGAACTTAATCGCGATTCAACTGTAGAGGGACGAGAGTTGGACTCTAACTGAAGAGAGACACCAGATAACTTGAATATATTTGCGAAAAGTCGTTGTAACGGGTCTGATCAAGCATTATGTGTACGTGCGTGTGTGTGTGTATTTGTGTGTATAAACGGCATATACGTGCACGTATATATGCTCGTACATACGAATACACAAATGAATATATGAGCGCTCGGAGCGCGGTAAAGCTACATAGAAAAGAATCTTGAGCGTCCATAAACACGTGTATATAAAGCAGACAAGGTAGCGACGATGAAAAAGTAGAAGAAAACCGACCAATGTTTAACGCACGAAATTGTCTAGGATGTATCGTTAGTGTACATAGTAAAGTGAACGATTTCTTTGCCTATCGATGCGTGAAAATATCAAGAAGATGCTTCTATAAAATAACGTTTCAAAAATTTCAAATAATAACTAGAAGCGGTACAGGGTCTGGGTGTGACGATTTTAAAATGCCAATTCTGCATTGTACAACGGAAATTAACGTACGCGCGATAATAGACAGTGTTTAATTTCGTTTATCGAAAAAGTTGTTTCAAATCACTCCTCGAACCACCCCCTTTCAACGACCTCCAACATCTTTGGGACACCCTTTATATTTGTAGTAGATTGTAGGTTCTATTTTTATTTTCACTTTTATTTTTGAAATTCGCATTAACTTCTAATGAAAATAAAACGTACGGACAATAAGGAACTCAACGTCGCATACATGCACAACTTTCAGATATATCTGAATGGATCTTTGTTTTAATTTAACGTTACGTTAATACAACGTTACATAAATGCCAAATATCTACTCTATCGTATTTAAACATTTTCAAAAGCGACTTAATAACTTTGTTGATTGTGTTCTTTAACATTATTTTATTTTATTGTGATACGATTAATGTACTTACCATAAATGTTCAACTTGTACATTTAGGCACAGGTGAATTTCCATGCTTTCCACGTTTGTATCCGCGGAAACGAATAATTCCACTTCTGAAGAACGTCTTTAAAATGAAACATTAGAAATACTATAAACGATATTAAACGCTGTCTCGGATATTATAATGCGCATTCTTTTCATACCGCAGATGCTGTTTTTCTAATTCTACATGTTCGTTAAATTCCACGCAGTCACTACTGGCAATTACGTCGTTCCGATCGACGTATTTCGGTAACTTCTGTTTGTCAGTTCTCCTTGTAACTTGTCGATTCATCTCTCTTAATACGAATTACGAATTATCGATTTATCGTCGTCATTTATCGCATCGAAGTTACGGTACTTCGTTTCACAGAGTTAAGTAGTTAAATGTAAATCGAATAACAAACGTATGGTCGATAGAGGGTTAAATCGATTACCTGTTAATATAGTAGAAAACTTACGCCGTGTTACATTAATAATACATTAGTTATCGAACAATTTCACCAGAAACAAACAGTTAACTATGTGGCACTAATAAAACGCTACGCGCTCAAAGATACTCACGAAGAAACTAATCTCCCCGAAACGAACAAATATGCTTGACATGATGCTCACACATGGATAAATAATTGCACGCCGTTTGTGTCCCATCAGGAGCAACATGTATCCTGAGATAATTGTACTTGTAATCGGTTGTATCCTGTATA